GACGTCACAGCCTACAGTTGTCTGTTGCTAGGCATGACCTTCTGCCCCTGGCCCATTCTCCTTGCTCTGCTCATGTCTGTCTAACTGCCCACTATATTTCCATTATTCCCCGGGGAGAGGAGGTATTGGAGCTCCCAGACTTCATTCCTGGGGTGGCTGCTCAGGTGTCCCTCCTCTGCTTCCCCAGGGACTGTAACACTCCAGGGGTTCTGTCTCAGCCGGGAGAGTGAAGAATGTGGAACCTTCTGAAAGTGGCTTTCCTCTGTCCTGTGGGAAGCAGGCTGCTCATCTGAGCTGAATCCAATGTATGTGTTTCTTTCCTTCAGATCCTTTATCCACTGACTAAGGAAGCCCTTTCACTCTAGTTTCCCTGAGAATGAAAATGTCCATTGATTGAATGTACCAGGTAGGAAAAAAGAGAGAGAAATATTGATACTTCCCAGTAGAGTTGCTCAGTGGATGAGTGTCAACCTAGAGAGCAAGAGGTCACTGATCCATTCAGGTCAGGGCACATGCCAGAGTTGCATGCTTGATCCCCAGTAAGGTGCATGCAGGAGGAAGCCGATCAGTGATTCTCTCATCACGGATGTTTCTCTCTATCTCCCTCTCTTTTCCTCTCTCAAATATATTTATTTATTTATTCGTGTGCGTGTGTGTGTGTGTGTGTGTGTGTGTGTGTATGACAGAGAGATAGAGAGAGATATATATAGCCCTGGCTAGTTTACCTGAGTGGATAGAGCATCTACCTGTGAATCGACATGTCCCAGGTTTGTTTCTGAACAAGGGTGCATACTTGGTTGCAGACTCCTCCCTGGCCCAGGCCCTGGTCTTCCCATGTGCAGGAGGCAGCCAATCGATGTGTTTCTCCTACATAGATATTTATCTCTGTGTTTCCCTCTCTCTTCCACTCTCTCTAAAAATAAGTGGAAAAATATCCTCAGGTGAGCATTAAAGAGAGAGAGAGGGAGTGAGAGAAGATGAATAAAGCAAGGAAATTTATGAAAGCAAACAGATTTTTCTTTTCCCTTTTATGCAAGAGAAACTCCAAATGTGAAATGAATGTATTTAAGTTTTCAGGCACATTTTAATTTTATAAAATATATTTTTATTGCCCTAATTGGTTTGGCTCAAGTGGATAGAGCGTCAGCCTGCGGACTGAAAGGTCCCAGGTTCGCTCCGGTCAAGGGCATGTACCTTGGTTGCGGGCACATCCCCAGTAGGGGGTGTGCACACAAGAATAACTTAAATTTCATGAGTATTAACTTACATTTTCTTTTGGTTTCATTTTAGAATTTGGTTTTTGTATAATCTTGTGTGAAAAGAAACTAGAGCACAGTTAAGCATATACTCAATCAAATATATATATATGTAATTTCAGAGAGGAAGGGAGAGGGAGAAACAAATAGAAATATCAATCATGAAAGAGAATAATCCATAGACTGCATCCTGCCGCCCCCCTCCCCACTGGGGATAGAAACTGCAACTGGTCATCTGCCCAGAACAGAGATGAAACTGAGACCTCCTGGTTCATAGGTGGATGCTCCAACATTGAGCCATGCGGTTCAGGCAAACTATGCATTTTTTCATGGTTGCCTGCTGACAGCTTGAGCCTCAGCCGCTCTTGTCCTTATTGCCTCGCACTTGAACAAGCTGATAAGAAAGCCTGGGTCATGTCTCCTATAGAGCAGGCAGGTGATTCAAACCACAGAATCCCTGCCTGTGCAGAACTCTTACCCCGGACCATGACCACACCAGGCTCCATTTCTGGCTCTGAAGCCAGGTCTCAGCTGCTTGAGAGGCCAGCCCGGCCCTCCTTTGAGACCTCTATGTGAGTCCTAAGGCTTGTCCTGCTCTCCTGGTGTGGGTGTGAGGGGTGTGACACACGAGCATCACTCACATCCACACCTCTGCAGGTGACCCTTTGAACTTGCTGCCAGGAATAGCACATGCCAACATTACCAGCCATGTGGGTCTGACTTCTGTTTCTCAAACTTGCTGACCTGTGGGAGCTTTGCTGTCCCATGTGGCATTGGTGAGCCTGTTGTGCCTCTATTCTATGTACCTGAGTGGGAGCTTTCATGCATTTCTAGGCAACTGGCAGGCAGAGTATGGAATTGGGCCCTCTTGAAAGTGGTCCTGGAATCATTTGCTCTGGCTCTGCCACTTAAATGTGTGACCAAATATAGCAGGCTAATTTTTAAGTTGATGATATTGTATGGCTCATGAATGTTGTTAGAACTATCCAGATGGCCCTTGGCAGAAAAAAGGTTCCCAGCCTCTGCTCTATCTATCTATATAATAGAGGAATATGCTCATTAGCCGGGACGCCGTAACGTCACTACAGGGCATCTGGCCACAGATCCACAGCTTAACGGAGACTGTCTCTAAGGCTGCCCAGAAGCCATGTGCCTGGGCCGCAGGGTGCCCGGACCCGGTGCCCATTCAAGACATGAAACAGAGAGGAGGTGCGAGAGGAAATCCAGAGAATGGGATGTGGGGGTTCAAGACTCAGTTCCTTTGGGCTTTGTCCTTCTTGGCCTTGGTCCTTTTCTTTCAGGCCTGGAGCACAAACCCAGCAGGAGAGAGGAATGGATGAAGGGCGAATGTGGAAGAAAGGTGTCCTAGGTGAGGTTGGAGATCTAGCAGCTGCAAGAGGCCGGGCTGTGGGGCTGCCTGAGGAGCGGCTCCCTGGCAAGCTCCACGGCTTCAGCAAAGTGGACGGCCAGGAAGCGGGAGACCCAAGGGGCGCAGAGTGGCACTGAGACAGGGTGTACCGGAAGGGGCACGGGCCGGGGCAGGGGGCAGGCAGGCGGGGACCCACATAATTGAAGATGACAAAGGCACTTGTTTTCCCTGGGCCTGATTTCTCTTTAAATTCCTACCTACTTGTTCCTAGAGATCAAGGTCTAATGTTCCAGCAACAGGGAAGCAAGGGTTATAAGTTATAATAGTCTCCAAAAGGCCCTTTAATTGTTACCTTATAACTGAGGCATCATTTGCTTTTTACAACTGTTTAAGCCAGGGGTCCTCAAACTTTTTAAACAGGGGGCCAGTTCACTGTCCCTCAGACCATTGGAGGGCCGGACTATAGTTTAAAAAAAAACTATGAATAAATTCCTATGCACACTGCACCTATCTTATTTTGAAGTAAAAAAACTAAACGGGAACAAATACAATATTTGTATTTGCATGTGGCCCGCGGGCCGTAGTTTGAGGACCCTTGGTTAAGCACTGTTATATATTGTTGCCATCTGTGCTGCAACCAGCAGGGCCATCAGGGGCCCTGCTCCCAGGCGCACTGGCCTGGTGCCGCCCACTCGTCGGCACCGCCGCCCACCATTAGTGCCCGTCTCCATCGGTGGGGCGACTGGCGGGTTTTCAGGGTACCCACTCACATCCACCTTGGACAGGCGCAGACCACTCACCTACTGCACCATCTCATAGCAGTCCCGCTCTCATCAGGGCCCATCGAGGTCAGTATTACCTCCACTGCCGCCTGCTACTAGTGCGGCATAGCTGACACCCACCATGTTTTGTGCTGCCCCCTGGTGGTCAGCGCACATCATAGCAAGCCATGGAACTCCCGGTCAGTCAAACTCTCAGGGACAATTTCCATATTAGCCTTTTATAATACAGGATACTACCTTTACTTTATTGTGTGTTCTTGCCTCCTTTGTCAAGAATTCTATGACCATAAATGAATGGGTTTATATCTGGATTCTCTGTTCCATTCCAGTGCTTTATATGCTTTTTAGGCCAGGACCATGCTGTTTTGATTACTATGGCCTTGTAGTACATTTGGTATTAGGTAGTGTGATTCATCTACATTTGTTCTTCTTTCTCAAGATTGCTGTTGCTATTCACGGTGTTTTGTGGTCTATGTAAAATTTTTGAATATTTATTCTAGTTATGTGATATTCATCATGGGTATCTTGATAGGAATTGCATTGAAGCTATAGATTGCTTTGAGTAGTATGGACATTTTAATTATATTAATTTTTCCTCTCCAAAAACACCATGTAATTTATATTCCAATTACAGTTTACATTTAATCTTATTTTGTATTAGTTTCCGGTGAAACTAATTTCAACATGAAAACATTGCAGATTTCAATAAAGGCCCTTCGACATGCCAAGTCTTAAATTGTTCCTCAAGGTCTAGGCCGCGGTTATAGTGTCACAATTCTGCCAGAAAGACTTCTTTTGAGTGTGATCTTATGATTTCAATATACGTGTCTATGTGTCCTAAAAACCAGTGTGAAGTAACCCTCAGGCTCATGAGTAGAGGACTTTTGTAAAGAGCTAAGTTGTCCTGTCTTGCTCATGCCTGAGCTCTAACTTTAACATCCTATCTCCATGAAATGAGAGAGGCAAAAGAAGGTCAAACTGAGTTACTAACAAATATTATAAAAACAAATGATCATCTATACTCCTCCATGAGAATATTCTCATTCATTCAGGTGTATCTGATGACTTCTAATAATCTGGAGTACTTCAGGACAATATGGCCAAGTACATTGTGTTCTAATTTGAATTTCCACACACCGTCTGGCCTCTCCTGTATGGTGATGAGAATAGAAGAGCAAGCTACCAAGCCTTTATTGTATTCACAGTCACTAAAACTTTATGCAGACATGACAGTATGTTTCATGGACTGCTGCATCAAATGGTGGTTATAATGGAGATGAGTTTTCTCACAAGGAATCGATGGGCTTAAGACAGAAGTATTTTAATGTATTAATATAAAAGTTGTTCCAGCTGTTCTTTACCCTGACATTAGAGAGCAATGAAGACTTGAAGTGATCACAGTAAAATGATATCAATAAATTCCATGTGCTCTTGAGGATGTGAATGTGGCAAATTAATAATAGTCTTACAATCAAGTGATACACTAAATGTTGGTGACCACGTATTCTGTGTGAATGTGCTATGAATTATGTATAGGTCCCCAGTGCTGTCTGTCCCACCCATGGTCCAATATGCATATGTGGGATATTTTAGGACTCAGTGGCCTTTGAGGATGTTAATGTGGAGTTCACCATGGAGGAGTGGGCTTTCCTGGATCTGACGTGGAAGAAACTCTACACAGATGTGATGCTGGAAACCTTCTGGAACCTGGCATCAGTAGGTAGGTATCATAAATTATTTTTTTAAAATACATTTTTATTGATTTTAGAGAGAAAGTAAAGGGAGAGAATGAGAGAAAAATCAATGATGAGACAGAATCACTGATTGGGTACCTTGTGCGCGCCTCACACTGGGCATCTAGCCTGCAAACCGGTCCTACTGGGAATTGACCTGTGGCCTCCCGGTTCATACCAGTTCATAGGTTGACGGTCAACCACAGAGCGACTCTGGCCTGAAACAACTTGGTACTTATTTATTCAGTTAGAAAACTAGCCCTAACTGGTTTGGCTCAGTGTATAGAGTGTTGGCCTGTGGACCGAAAGCTTCCAGGTTCAGTTCCGGTCAAGGGCATGTACCTGTGTTGTGGGCACATCCCCAGTAGGAGGTGTGCAGGAAGCAGCTCATCAATGTTACTAACTCTCTATCCTTATCTCTTCCTCTCTGTAAAAAGTCAATAAAATATATTTTTTATAAACAAGAAAAGAAAACTAGTGTTGCTTGCTCATCAGTGCTGTTTCAAGAACTGAAATATGGAAAGGAAATACATTGGTACTTAAACCAGGAATGATCACAGCTCATTGTGTACTTAAAATCTAACCAGTTTTTATATTCTTTAATAGTTTATAATGGTTTTTTTAGCATGTGTTTTAGAAGAACAGTGTGACGACCATGATAGTGAAGATCAATATGAAAATCATGGGATGAATTTTAGGTGAGTTGCATTGACATGAAAAAGCATTAAGAGCATCTGTGTGTGTGTGTGTGTGTGTGTGTGTAATATATTTTTATATATTTATTTTTTTAATTTGTGTTTAATTTTTTAAAATTTACTTCAGAGAGGTAGGAAGAGGGAGAAAGACAAAGAAACATCAATGATGAGAGAGAATTATTGATAGCTGCCTCCTGAATGCCCTGCATTCAGAATCAAGAACCAGGGCATGAGCCCTGACCAGAAATTGAACTATGACCACCAGGTTCAGAGGTCAGTGAGCCTCTCTGGTGGTGCAAAAATATGTTTTTATTGATTTTAGACTATGGAGGTGAGAGGGAGAGATATAAAAATTCAATTGACTGCCTCCTGCATGCCCCGTACTGGGTTTAATAAGTCTGCAGTCTGGCCATGTTCCCTTTTAGGGAAATGAACCAGCAAGCCCCTGGTGCATGTATTTTTTCTGGAAAGGGGGCGGTAGGCCAAATAAGTTTGGGAACCACTGCTCTATTCTGAACCACTGAGGCAAATGGGCCTGGTCCACAAAAGAATCTTTAAAACAGGTAATCCAATGGTAACAGCCCAGTTTTAAATATATTGGTTCTTAGAATTATCTCATCCAAATGTTTTTTCTGAAATATGGCCTAGATGTTTAATGTATAACAATAATTGCACTTGGAAAAAAATACATCAGTACCATTAATCAATATAAGTGTTTTCATAATATCTGTGATCCAGCCTATTTCAGAGGTTTCAGGATATCCACTTTCAAAAATTGGAATGTTCAGAAACCCCACTCTTTCTTTGAAAATGGTTAAAAATGTCATTGTCATGCTAATAATAAATATTAAATTGTTAACATAGTATTAATAATATGCTTCTGATTTTTACAGCAGTCATATGGTAGTGAGACTCTGTACAAGGAAGGATGGTAGTCAATGCAGCGAAAACTTCAGCCAGATTCCAAATCATAACGAAAAGACAGAAACTCCTACTGAAATGAAACAACCTAAATCCAGGTTGTGTAGGCAAATATTCATGCATTATTTATCGTTGAATAACCACCTGAGCTCTCATATTGGACCCAAACTTTACCTGTGTCAGGAATATGAAGAAAACCCTTATAAATGTAAGGAAACTGAGAAAGCTTTTAAGCATCATCAACATATTGGAAGCCATGAAGGCAGCCTCAGTGGGAAAGCTTTCCAGTATTCAACTTCCCTTAGAAATTATGAAAGAACACGTATTGCTGGGAATCCGTATGAGTGTGTGCAATGTGGGAAAGGCTTTAGTCGTCTCATTGCCTTTAAACTTCACAAAAACACTCATACCGGAGAGAAACCACATCAAAGTAAGCAATGTGGCAAAGCTTTCAGTTCTTCCAAGTACTCTGGAGAAAATGAAAGAACACACACTGCAGAAAAGCACTATCAATGTCAGAAATCTGGAAAAGCTTTAAGTTCCACTTCTCTTAGAAATCAGGAAAGAACACACACTGGTGAGAAACCTTATGAATCTGGGAACATCTTCAGTTGGCTCAGCTCTCTTGAAAAATATAAAAGAAGTTATGCTGGAAAGAAGCCTCATGAATGTAAGCAATGTGGTAAAACATTCCGTCGCTGCTATGCCCTTATAATTCATCAAAGAATGCATACTGGGGAAAAACCATATGAATGTAAGCTTTGTGGTAAAGTTTTCTCTTATTCAACTTCCCTCCAAAATCATAAAAGAACTCATACTGGGGAAAAACCCTATGGTTGTAAGCAATGTGGAAAAGCCTTCAGTTGTCCAAAGTCTTATCGAGAGCATCAACGGACACAATGTGGAGAAAAGCCCTATAAATGTAAGCAATGTGGGAAAGCTTTCATATTTTCCACTTCTCTTCGAAATCATGAAAGAATGCATACTGAGAAGAAACCCTATAAATGTAAGCAATGTGGGAAAGCTTTCATATTTTCCACTTCTCTTCGAAATCATGAAAGAATGCATACTGAGAAGAAACCCTATAAATGTAAGCAATGTGGGAAAGCTTTCATATTTTCCACTTCTCTTCGAAATCATGAAAGAATGCATACTGAGAAGAAACCCTATAAATGTCTCTCTTGGAAAACATAAAAGAAGTCATGATGGAAAGAAGCCTCATGAATGCAAGGAATGTGGTAAAACATTCTATGATCGATATTTCCTCCGATTTCATGAAAGTATTCATACTGGGGAAAAACGTTATGAATGTAAGCATTGTGGTAAAGCTTTCTCTTATCCATCTTCCCTCCGAATTCATGAAAGGACTCATAATAAGGAAAAACCCTATGCATGTAAGCAATGTGGGAAAGCTTTCAGATGTTCCAAATATCTTAGAAATCATGAAAGAATGCATACTGGGGAGAAATCATATGAATGTAAGCAATGTGGGAAAGCTTTCAGTACTTCCAGTTCTCTTGCAACACATAAAAGAAATCATGATGGAAAGAAGCCTCATGAATGTAAGGAATGTGGTAAAACGTTCCTTTATCCCTCTTTGCTTAGAATTCATGAAAGAATGCATACTGGGGAAAAACCCTATGAATGTAACCATTGTGGTAAAGCTTTCTCTTATCCAACTTCCCTCCAATGTCATGAAAGAACTCATAATAAGGACATACCCTATGAATGTAAGCAATGTGGGAAAGCGTTCAGTTCTCTCACCTCTCTTGGAAAACATAAAAGAAGTCATGACGAAAAGAACCCTCATGAATGTAAGGAATGTGGTAAAACATTCCATGATTTATATCCCCTCCGACTTCATGAAAGTATTCATACTGGTGAAAAAACCTTAGGAATGTAATCATCGTGGTAAAGCTTTCTCTTATCCAACTTCCCTCCAATGTCATGAAAGAACTCATAATAAGGACATACCCTATGAATGTAAGCAATGTGGGAAAGCCTTCATTCATTCCAGTTTCCTTGAAATTCACCTAAATACTCAAAGTGGAGAGAAATCATAATGAATGAAAGAATGCCCACTGAAAATAAGCCCTATCCTGTAAAGATTATAGAAAACCCTTTGACTATCCTAGTTCTTTTTTAAAAATATATTTTACTGATTTTTACCGAGAGGAAGGGAGAGGGATAGAGAGTTAGAAACATCAATGAGAGAGAAACTTCAATCAGCTGCCTCCAGCACACCCCCTACTGGGGATGTGCCCGCAACCAAGGTACATGCCCTTGACTGGAATCGAACCTGGGAACCTTCAGTCTGCAGGCTGATGCTCTATCCACTGAGCCAAACCGGTTAACGCTAGTTCATATATATATATATATATATACTCACCTTGGGATATCTTAGGATATTTTTCCATCTAGACAGTGGAAGTCAGAGAGAAAGATAAAGAGCAATATTGATGTGAGAGAAAAACATCAATCAGTTGGCTCCTGCTCATGCCCAGACATGAAAGCACACACAGTGGAGAAAAGCTCTATGAATGTAAGGAATGTGGTGAATAGGCCCTACACACATGTATTTTTTAATTTTTCAATTGCACTTGAAATTCACTGTTATTTTAGATAGTAAGTATTCGCCATATATTTGTGCTTACAGTTCACTCTAGAGTCCCATGTGAATTATTTTCATGGTTGGTTTTTGTGTTGCTTTTGGCTGGTAATTTTCCATGGGGTTCACATTAAGAAGAGAATATTTTAGTTTGTTTTTCTCACTCTTTACCCTACCAGCCAGGAATATCCTCAAAACTGCCAGCCACTGCTTTACTTCCTTTGATGTCCGGTGTAAGCTTTACAGTTGTTTAGAATTCAACATTAAAAATCCAGCATAGGTTGGCTTTTCCTGCAAGGCCATTGGTGTTCACCAGGCAACAAACGTAGGCTGTAATGGTTGTGGCTGTTTTCTGAAGGGTACGCACTGTTCTCTAGATTGCATTTGCTTGAGGTCTAATTTGACTAGTGATCATCTCGTCCTATTGATACTACTACTAATGGGATTCGGATCCCACTGTGACAGCTGCCATGGTGCAGTGCCAAGGAGCCCCATGACAGTTTGCTCTTGTACCACCCTCTGCAGTGAGGGCTCTGAGCCAGTCCTTCCATGTGAGAATCGACACTTTCCTCATTGCAGGCAGACTCTGATGTGTGTTGTCACTCAGAGCTGAGCCTAATCTCAATATTTTCAGTTATCTTGGGTTGTATGTGATTAAAATTATGTGCATTTTTCTCTCTAATCAATGCTTCTGTACTTTTTAAGGAAATATGAACTGCTTGCCAATCACTCTTATGCTAATAGCTGTTTCGTTTTATTGTTTCCTGAGGACATCTTTAACTATCCCATTGTAATTATGTATTTTCAGATCAACATGTTATCTTTTTCATTTAATCATATAATCTGAGTCACAATTATCATGTGTGTATAAATTCAAACATGTTTTCTCAGGGAAATTAATACTTTTTTATACTTATTTGGCACAGACTGCTTTCTTATTCGTTCAAAATATTAAAAGCTTCAATCATGTTTTTTTCTGTCCCTTCCAGCCAAATACCAACAAAATCACATCTATGGTAAAAAGAGACATGGAATGGAATGAATACGAATAATAATGACCACAAACCATAAATGGCTGTGGGCTGTGACAGTAACAGCACACTGAAAAGAGTTTCTTGTATTTTGCCTTGTGATAGATCATTTATTTGCTATTGAGGGAAGCCAGACATTTTTCTGCATTGGATTCTGTGAGGAAATGAACTTAATTCTACATTGGGTGGTGATATTAATTTTTATTTAGAAGGCAGGAAAAAATAAAGTCATGCTAACCCTGAATTGTAGGAAACAAATCATATTAGTGAAGAAAGGGGAGTTTTGTTATTTTTATTCTTGGGAAACCTGTTCTCTTTCATCAGCTATACAGACATGAATGCCTTTGCTTCTGTCTTGATTCATCGTGGTCATGGAGTAGCTCTGTGTGATGATGGACATGTGTGACCTTTTCTTTTCCACAACATATATCTAGGCCTGGCAGGGAGTGCAAGGCCTTTAACCAAGTGTCTGGAACAGCTTTTGCCTTTCTTGTTATCTAAATACTGAAATATTTCCTAGAGGGTATTGGATGCATTTCCGAAAAGTGATATATCTATAGTTTCTAATCATTTACTCCTTGAATAGTTATCTCCTTTATGAATCAATTGAAGTTCATAAATTTAGGGATATTGTCAAAGAATACAAACCAAGCAGGAAAACAAAGTCACAGTCTCACTTCCAAAGAAACTGTTCTTAGTGATAGAGTATGACTTTATTTTACTTTTTATTTTTAAATGTACTTTTATTGATTTCAGAGAGGAAGGGAAAGGATGAGAGATAGAAACATCAATGATGAAAGAGAATCCTCCTGCATGCTCCCTACTGGGGATCAAGCCTGCAACCCGGGCATGTGCCCTTAAATGGAATCGAACCTGGGACCCTTCAATGCACAGGCCTACTCGCTATACAGTGAGCCAAACCAGCTAGAGCCTTCTTTTACATTTTTTTTTAAAAAATTGATAGAGGCAGAAATAGTACTCTGTTGTTCTAGTTTCTACATTCATTGGTTGATTTTTGTGTGTGACCTGGGATTTAACCTGCTACCTTGTTATGTTGGAATGATGCTGTAACCAACTGAGCTACCCGGCCAGGGCGAAAGACAACATGGTGATACACTACATCTCATACTAGAAAAGGTAAACGTTTGGTCTGGGTGGTATGGCTCAGTGGTTTGAGTGCTGACCTTATGAACCAGTAGGTCATGGTTCGATTCCCAGTCAGGACACAAGCCTTGCTTGCAGACTTGATCCTCAGTAGGGGGCGTGTAGGAGTCAGCCAATCAATGATTATCTCTAGTCATTGAAGTTTCTATTTCTCCTTTTCGCTTCCTCTCTGAAATCAATAAAAAAAACATATTTAAATAAGAAAAGAAAAAAGATAAAGGTTTAGAGGAACCTCTAACATCCATATAAACAGCCACCACGATTTTGTTCTTTTGAATTGATGGAATGTTTTCCATTGTCTTGGTGGTGTAACTGCATTCGTAAAAACTCATAATTGCTCTAGAAACGGTATGTGCAAATATTAAAAACAATGAAAAATAACAAAGTGATCCTAGCTGTTTTGCCTCAGTGGCAAGAACATCGTCCTGCAACTGAGGTGACCCGGGTCCAATTCTAGTCAAGGGCACATGCCCGAGTTGTAGGCTCCATCCTCAGTAGGCAGCATGCAGCGGGCAGTTGATAAATGATTTTCTGATCATAGATGTTTCTTTCTATCCCTCTTCCATCTTCTCTGAAATCAATAAAAATCCTATATAATAAAGAGGGAATATGCAAATTAACCCTCACACTCTCACAAGATGGCTGTCTTCGACCAGGCCTGCAAGGGGTTAGTGAGGGATTATAAAATGACTGAACAGCAGGCTGCGTGAAGCGACCAGGCTGATGGGGGCTGAGGGGTGACCAGGCCTCCGGGGGAGTCAGTGGGGGGAGACTAGGCCGACAGAGGGGGAGCAGTTGGGGGCAGCCAGGCCAGCAGAGGGAGGCAATTGGGAGTGACCAGTCTGGCAGTTAGGGGCAATTAGGCTGGCACACAGAATCAGTGAGGGGCTATCAGACCGGTGGGGAGAGGGGCAGTTAGGGGTGACCAGGCAGGCAGGCAGGTGAATGATTAGGAGCCAGCGGTCCAGGATTGTGAGAGTGATGTCTGACTGCCGGTTTTAGGCTGAAACCAGCAGTCGGACATCCCCTGAAGGGTCCCGGATTGTAGAGGCTGCAGGCTGGGCTGAGGCCCCCCCCCCCTTGCACAAATTTCATGCACTGGGCCTCTACTATATCTATAAATAAATAAATAAATAAATAAAATGGCAAAAGTATATGCTCGTGCTGGGAGGATGTTAAACTGTCCTGAACTTGGAGCACTACATGTGCAATACTTCTTTCTCCCACCTCAGGATTCTTATAAAGAACAGAGGTCTGGGGGAGGACACAACAGGATTGAATTTCAGGGATCACCCTCTCGGGCAACCTCTGCCCTCATTCACACAACTGCTGAGACAGTGATAGGCTCCTGGCCCCCACCTTTGAGGTGACACCAGGGTTCTGGAGTCCTATTCAGGAAATGCTATGATCTGAAATGGGGAAACTAACTGGTCTGCACAGGTGAGGTCAGCCTGGGAATGTCCTAATCCAATCCTTGGGCATTAGCAGGTCTTGAGCCTGTTTCCAGCTCTTAAGTTTCTCATCTCAAGCTGACTCTGCCTGCTCTCTGGGAAACATGTTTAAAGGCAACATCAGTCGGACTCTGGAAATTTTCTGTTGCCACCTCAGGTGACTGTAGTGAAGCAGTGATAGAACCCAGAGCCCATGTCAGGAGGAGCAGGCCCCTCACACACAGTGATTTCCACTGTTGCTTGACCATCACTCCTGTGCCAAGAAGCACGTTGCACAGGAGTCTCAAACCCACCAACAATGTGAAAAGGAGATGCCCCATGGGCTGAGGGAAATAACATCCCAGACAGGAACTCAGCACCCCTGTGGGATCCCCCCTCACCTCACTTGGCTCCCAGAATGCAGTTTAGCATCACACCTAATAAGGGGCTGAGAATGCCAAGTATTTTGCCTTCCCTGAAGTGAGCAGGCACAGGAGGTGGCTCCTGGTCTCCTTGCTGGAGCCCCGCCCCTGTTCTTGCAGGAAGAGTGAGAAATGAGCCCAAACTCCTCCCACGGTCTTACAACAGCTTCCCGTGTTTTCCTGGGTCCCCAAGGTCACCTGTCTGTGGTTCAAGGTCCCCAGGCTACCACCCATCCCCACCAAGGCACATTCAGTGAGAGGCAGAGATGAAAGGCTGGGTGAGGACAGGCTCAGGGGGGCTGACCCAGGGAGGCCTGTGCACAGGGGTGACGTCAGGGAGGTGGTATACACCTTTCCCATGAACCTGCAGCATAAGACTTAGCAGCTGAGTGAGAACTTTCGACCCTTTTTTGTCCTCCTTGAGCTTCCAGTGGGGAAACAAAGTGAGGAAGGGCCCGTGCTTTATCTCAATTGAGACGATCCTGTAATCTTTGAGGTTTA